TTTCTTGGGATGCTATTTCAGTGTAATATTAGCAGGTGTCATGTGAACCAAAAAGGCAGCTGTTGAGTTTAGAAGAACTGAGTTAGAGGAATGTAGCTAAGGCTTCTTTATCAGGACTTCTCTGAATCTCATGCCCTAACATATCCTGAGATCTCCAAGCGATGAGGTAGTTTCCCAAATGTATTTAGGAAATAGATTCTTCTATTTACACAGCATCTTGAGAGGTTAATGTTCTGTGAACTGCACTTCGGTATTATAAACATCTTTCTCCTCCTCCTCTTCCTCTCCTTCCTTCTCCTTTTCTGTTTTAAAGGATGGAGTGGCCCATCGTGAAGGAATTCACTGGCAGGAGCAAGGAAACCTATTTAGGTAGCCCTGCAACACTGAGGCTCAAGCAGCCCACATTATGAACACTACCATCACGTGGAAGTATAAGGAATATCATTTCATTACAAAATTATAAAATCCTCACTTCATCTTAAAAAAGTGCCGACATACAATTCTATTATTCTTGTTTTATGGATGAGGAAAGAGAGGTTCAGAAGAGTGAGGTATGGGCATGGCTCGGGTCACGCAGCTCATAAAGGGTGATTCAAACCCAGAGAGCGGACTTGAAATACCCTTTTTTCCCCACTGCACCACTGCGGCCTGTTGAGTTTTCAATTAAACAATCTCTTCAAAGGAAACCCCAGGGCACCTCACATCTGCCCTCAATCAGCAGTCAGCTACGGGAGTGCACTTTCAGGTGGCACAGCGTACCACAAGGCAATCTGGGGCTTGAGATGGGTTCCTAGACCAATCATCGAGATCAAGGTCAGAGGAAAAGGTGAACTTGGTCTGAATTCTGGTCTGGTAGATTTGCACCACCGTATACTGTGGTTTCTGGTTCCGTGTCTGCTCATGAGAGCCCCATCCCTGAACTCTTGAGTTCCCAGGTTATTTATACACTTATGTATAGCACAGAATGCTCAGGGGATGTTTCTTAATAAGAGACTCAAGATGCACAACTTTCACTAATGAATAGCAGATGGTCATTTTACTCAAAATAATCTGGTGTTCTTAGTAAGAACTGAGCTCTTCCCATGATATTAAAAGACTATTATATTTGAGAGACTGTTTTGAGATATCCAATTACTAGGTAATTACATTTAATTTAATGTATAACGGTATCAGAAAAAGATTTTGAGGTAACTTAGTTCTTAGAGTTCATCGGCAGAACAATAATACACTGATATATTACACTAATACTGTAATACATTAATACACAGTACTAATCATTGCTGCTTATCCAGTGCTAATGGCCACATCCTATGTAATATACTTGACACAGTTGATCTTATTTAGAAGTTGATCTTCTTTATTGAAGAAAACTATTAATATGCCCATTTTACAGATGAGACAATTGAGGCCTAAAACAGTTAAGAAGCTTGCCCACTGGCACACAGCTGAAAGGTTCTTGTGAGGAGCTTGATACTGTGGCTTTTCAGCCTCATTGCTTAAAACTTGGTCAGTGCCCAGAATATAAGGGCTTTCTACAGTTTGCTGAGTGAACGTGTGGTCAAATCCCAGAAATTTCCTATACGAGGCTAGTTTTACCTGTGTCTGACAGAGCCCTGCTGGCTCAGCATGGATGAAATGATTTGACTGGAAGTGCAGAGTGAAGCTTCTCACTGTTGTTGGAGCTGCAAGTGCAACCTGAGCCCCATTTTTAGCACCTGTGCAAGGATCACCTGCAGCCACCAGCACACTGATAGAGCAAAGGCCTCACAGATGGTGCCAGGGCAGGGACCCTCACGCTGCCCACACCCAGATGAGTGGATGACTGAAGAGCAGGACTTCCTCCTACACAGCCCCTGCCTCGCTGGTGCTCGCGTCCTTCCCACTGCTTGGCCACCCTCTGGTCTCCTTCGCCTAGAAACCCAGAGCTATGGTCTGAGTGTGAACTCCTTCCACAGAACACGGCAAAGGCAGCCTGCTGAACTATAAATACAGTACTACTCCAATGCCCACATTCTTCAGCCAGGCAAGGAAGTGGACCTGCAAACAAATTCAAATGGGGCTGTCCCTCAGAACAGGCAGATTAGAAGAAGCAGCACCCCACCCTGCACTTCCAGTTGGGAAAAGTTCCTTCTCTGTGGGTCCAGGCCTGGGCAGCCCCCTCACATTGCAGGACGTGCCCTGCATTCATAGCACCTCCCAGGAGTTTAAAGTCATTCTTTGCCCAAGGCCTCCAGGGGTAAATGCCTCTATTTTCCTAGTGGGGGTGGGAAAATAGGCCTGGTTCCCTCAGTTGTGCTGAGGATGTCCTCCCATCCCAGCACCCCTTCCTTCCTGTTTCAGTTTATCTTAGTTTCAAGTCTCTTTCCAAACCCAGAGAAGGCTCCCAGACCTCATAAATGTCCTCACCTCAATTTTCCTTATCGAAGGTGCTTGCAAGCTTTGAGTCATCCATAGGCACTTTTTCACCTGTGTATGGTCTGACTTCCCCTTAAGGTGTGAGTTGCACGAGGTGGAGCCATGACCTTGGGGTCACCTTTGTGGCACAGTGCAAGGTACACAGATGGCACTGAGTATTTGTTGGATGGATGACAGAGTCAAGACTGAAAATAACTTCCTTTTTGACTGTAAACATGCATTGTGAGAAATATTTCATTTATGAAATAAATGTGGACTCAAAACATCGTCAACTGCAACCTCTCCTTTCCTCTCACCCACCACCCTGCAGCTTGTCTACACTGCTACACAACAGCTGAGGGCCAAAGCAGAAGAGGCTGGATCACTGTAGATGCCAGAGGCTGGGGAAATTTACAGAATCCCAGAGGAGTGGAAGCACTGATTCTGGGCCGGGGTGGCCTGTCACTTGAGGGGGAAGAACCATGCCAGAGGGACCTCTGGGAGGCAGAGGGGGGCCTTGGTAGTTCCCTATATACCTGGATCATCAGGTTGGGCAGGGAAGAGGCAGGTGGAATGATGTGTCTGATTGAAGCCTGAGGGAATGGAAAGGACCTTTGGATCTGAACCTGCAGTTTTGTGACCGCAGCAACCCCCAGGAGGCCCTGTCACCTGGAGCAGGAGCAGAGACAGCAGACAGTGAGATTGACAGCTGACAGGCAGCATGTGGTGGAGTCACAGGAACCAAAAGGATCTGGGTACCAGCAAGAACATATCCAAGATACAGGGACCTAGCCAGCCAGGGAGCAGAGGAGGCCAGAAGGAGGGCTGAAGGGTTGGAGGTCAAGGTGAAGGGCAATAACTTCAGTGGGAGTCAGGAGGTAGCACATGTGTGTGGAGGTGAGGCCTTAGAGGAACAAATGAATCACGCTCAGGCTACTCAGAGTGTGACTTCAAGACGTGTTAAGATGCATGGCATTTATAGCAATAATTAATGAGTTCTGCAAAGTTTGCCAAAGCAAAAACATTTCTTTGTTACCCTCAACGTTTATTAAGCTTTCCCTGCAACCAGACTGCTGAGTGGACCGGGGACTGATGGCTGTAAACATTTGTAAGGGATAGAGAAGACTGGGTTTTCAAAACAACTGTCCCACCAGCTTCTGTAACGCCTAGAACCGGGAATCAGTGTCGAGAACTAAAGCTGTATTTTAAAAAGGTCTATGTTCTTGGAAGACTTGCAGGACACGTCATGCCACAACTGAGGCCAGTGCGTGTGTGTGTGTGCACGCGTGTGTTTGTGTGTGCGCGCGCGCCTGTGTGTGTCCACTACTCAGGGACGTGCATTCCTGCAGTGAGGTCGGCCTCAGACACAAAAGCGGGCCGCCACCCTGTCGCCCGCTGAGAGGATCTGGCCGCCAACGCCTGGAAAAAAAACAAAAAAACCCCAACATAATGAATATCTCCAGGGACTTAAAAAAAAAACTTAGCCGAGAAAACAAGCGCTCTACTTCCCCGGAAATTAGATTCACAAGGGAATTCATTCCATCCTGGAGGCTGGGAAGTCCGTGCAGAAAATAGTCTGGTTGCGGGGGGGCGGGGCTGTTTCAGAAACTGAACACGAGCATCCCCCAAACCCACGCCTGCTCCTCCACGTGACTGGCCCTCAGGGTGGCGGCCACCAGGAACGCGCCAGGCGCC